ATATTAATAATAATATATATGAATAGTAATAACAATAATTAATTATTGTTAATAATAATATCATGATAATAATATAACTAGGAGTTATATGTTTTTTATTCATTGATATAACAACCAAACTAAAGTTCAAATATAAAATATTATACATTTTATTTCAACTCTTATCATTAAATTGATCTAAATGATTCAATAATAATTATCTTAATAACAATATCAATCACAATAACATGAGTTCGTTATGGTTGAGACAAATTCAAAGGATTAGGGACTTTAAATCCCCCTCTCTCTTCCTATATTATTTTAAAAATATTTTATATTAATATTATTTTTAAGATGATAATGAGACGATATATGATAAATATAAGTTTCAATATTATTATCATTCTTTTTTATTTTATATTCATCTCTATTTTTTTATATTTGATGAATATAAAATTTGTATTTCATGTAAAAAATACTTGTCATTATCCTGTAGTCACATAAAATTAATTAAATATTTTATAGAAAAAATATATTAAAAAAAATTAGGAAGCCATTGTGGCAACCTCCAGGCATGGCACCAACACCAACCCCTGGCTTTGGAGAGTCCATGGGACCATGACCAGTGATGAGACCAAAACCCCACTAGGCCAACCACGAACCACCATGCGGGCGCGACTCATTACCTAACCGATGAAAGAGAGATAGTCTGGTCGTGAGAAAGCTGCAAGTGAGCTTAGTCATCAAGAAGTCTCGCTAGGTTCTGAATGTTTCCTGGTCGCCCATGATTCCTTAAGCATGTAAGTGTAATTGTATAATATGGGAACTAAAACTGTAAATGGTTTTATGGGAACTAAAGCGTAAATGGTTTAAAAATACAAAAATTTAAAATGGGTTTATATTTGGAACAATTTAATGTATTTATATCCAAACAAATTAGATATTTTTTTATTAAAGTCTGGACAGATACCAACACTATCTATTAATATGAGTTTATTGTCATTCTTATCAACTATTTCTATACATAACATTCAATTACCTAATTCAGTGAAATAATTAATTTAATTGATAATAATAAAATTTTCATATTTATATATTTTATTTTTCTAAAATTATACTTATACTATTATCTTTCCTAATTAATATTCATATCTTCTAATCAATTAATACTCATCTTTATATTTTTTTTCTAATTAATACTCATCTTTATCATAATTAATCAGAGTACTTGCTTTTTAAAAAAAGGATACACTAAGTAAAGATGTTTCAAATTTCAGTTAAAAACTTGTATTTTACTTGCAATGTATATACCGAATTTTTATTATATTTAATTAATTTTTATAACAAATAAATAGTTTAGATAATAAATTATATTTAAAATCTGTCACAAATAAATTTTTAAACATATAAATTATATTTAAAATTTGTGAAAAAATAAAAATTACATTTTTATAATTAAAACATAAATATAAAAAATAAAATAGAAATTGTTGCCTGTTGGGTGCTGATTCTACTGAAGTTCACTATATTTTTATTTTTTTATAAATAATTTGAATTATTGGATCTGAGCACGTGTATGGTGTATGAATCGTTTTGAAAACGCAAGACTAGGCGCAGTCAAGTATTGCGGAAAGAAAAGGCTAACAATAATAAAATAAAGAATGTACATTCTTTCATATATTTGTGCAACTAATAAGCTTTAGACAATATTATCCCATTGTCATGTCCAGGTTGTTCAAGAATGAATTACATTAAACTATATGGCACGTGAATCATAATCAATTTCTCTACTAGTTTTCTAGATCTCTTGCTTCCTTTTAACGGTAATGTAACATTTAACATTATTGGTATAATATTTATATAACTAATTTTATAACATTATATTTATAATACATAAATATTTTTAAATATATAAATTATATTATAATTAAATATTGTAATAAATAAATATTTTTAATGACATTATTATATTTCACTACGGTTAATATATAATATTTTTCATAGAGTAACAAGACTATCAATCTAGTTTATAGATTGGAAGCTTTCTGATATACAAGATCCTTATAAAAGATGAGTGTAGAATATATTTGCGTCTATGTAGAATATTAATTAATATTAAATTAACTTAAAAAATTATTGATAATATTTATAAAAATTAAATTAAAAATAAAATATAAATTAAAAGAGATGAGAGGTCGACAAAATTAATATATCTTTTAGTATTTAAATTATATTCAAATAAATTCATGAATTACAAGTATTACATTAAGATTATGGGTTAAATGAGTTTTTAGTCCCTCAACATTTTAAGAATTCAATTTTTAGTTGTTTTTAAAATTTTTGTCAATTTGTAGTCTTTTTTTTAGTTTTCTTTCACAAAAATTAGTTCATGAAGTTTACTTTTATTTGTTAAGTGATGATGTGTGTTAATAAATTATAGTTGACTCAACTATTGTCACATAACTGTTTAACTGCTTAATAAATGTCAAATGATATGATGCGTGTAATTTTATTATTTGTTCACGGTTATACGGTGAAGATTTATTCAAATAACGTCTTTTATTTTCAAAAATTAATGTCTAACTATGGGCGAATAAAAAAAATGCATATATCATGTATTCACAATTTTTAGTAGGTAACCACGATATTAATAGTTGAGTCAGTTACAATTTATTAACATACATTATCAATTAATAGAAGAGACTTAACCTTAAGGACTAATTTACATAAACAAAAATAATAATAAATTAAAAATTAACAAAAAAATTAAAAAGTTGAAATACTAAAAACTTATTTAATCCAAATATTATATTACGTGCCATGACAACCCATACATAAGACGGTCTAGATCATTGCTTTAGACTTAAAAATAATTGTTATTTAGTATTAATATTTATATTACTTAATTTTCTTGTTAGTTGGTTTAGTGTAACCGTGACTAATTAATGTGTTTTTTTTTACCCGTGAATGGGATGTTTGATGAAAAATTAAAATTAGCAGGTGAATTGGATTGAGATTTTATAAAAAAAATTTACTACAAAAGGATTTTGTAGGTTTTAAAAGATATTGTAGAAACTCAATGATTTAAATTTTTTCAAAAAACTTTGTAAGGATGTAATTACTTTTAAGATTTTTTTAATCAAGATTTTGTAATATAAATTTTAATCGATTCGTATCTTAAGAATTTATAAGATTTGAAAGGGTTTTATTAGATTTTAAGAGATAATATAAATTTTTAAAAAAACAATACAATTTCTCTATAGAAATGACAAAGTTTAAATAAACAAAATAACATCAATAAGTTTTTCAATCTTTTAATAAACAATTAATTTTAATTTTGTGTTCTCTTAAGTAACATTTGTCTCTACATACAACTTTCTATACATTTATATTTTCTTATTTATACTATTGAATTTGAATAATATGTTCAAATTTATGATATTCATTAACTAGTCGAATTTTAAAAATATATTTTTAATATATGGTTAAAATTTTAATATTTAAATATTAAATTTTATTAAAAATAAGCATTTATTAAATTTTAATAATTAATTTTCTTTACAATATATAATATCTAATAATTAAAAAAATAATTTTAAATTTTTAATAATTTAAAAAAAATATTGATAAATTATAATTGTAACAACTATTTAAACCTATACAAGGAACAAATCATACAAATATTTACAAAAAAAAAAAAAAAAATAAAGTCTTTCAACTTAAGGTCTATCATGAACAACTCAAAAGACTGATTTTGAAATTTGAGAACAAAGTCCAATATCAGGTAGTTCAATAAATATTAGTAATTTTTAAATATTTTTATTAAATAAAATATAAAAATACAAAACATTTTAACTTACTAGTAAATTTTAAAAATTTTAATTTTAATTAATAATTATCACTATATTTTATGTTTTCAAATACAACTCGCATTTTAGAGTAATATATTATTTTCTTTTACTGCATCAATTGCTAATAAATTTGTCATAAACAAGAAAATGAATGTCAAATTCTTCTATGGGCGCGAAATCAATTGTTTATACGATAAGATCGAGCGTGGATGCGATCTATAATGTTGGCAATATATTATTTCGTGTACAAGGACTTCACCTCGATTTTCAGCAAAATCATGTGTTTCCGGTCTAAATTATATTAACATTATTCATCTCATTACACAAATCGAAAAATAATAAAGAAAAATATCAATTTATTAATAAATTTTTCGCCTCGTGGGTCATTATTAAACAGAGAAAGTGTTTTTTTTTTTTTTTTAATTTACGGCCAGGGTATCCAAAGGATTTTTCTGATATTAATTTTGCTTAGAGATTAATTTTTCTGACAGAATTGTAATCGTAATTGGCTCAAAGGATTTTTCTGAGGATCAAACATAGATTTTTTCGTATAATAAATTATTTTTACAACATATAAGTGCAAGGCAACGTGTAATAACTATTTTAAATTATTTTATAAAAAAATAATAAATAAACCAGGGAAACTATTTAACTGAATTTTTAATGATAATTTCATAATGAATACCAATTTAATTTGGAGTTAGCGACATAATAATAGCAGCTGCGTCTTAAATCTTGTTAAATATTTTATAACGGGATGAGTATATAAAAATTCTTATGAAACCAATTTGACTCAGAAAACAATGCCCGAAGGAATATGCGAATCACTAGAAGTTAGTTTAATTTACAATGTTTCTAATTACTTTAAAATATACTACATATAATTTTCACTAATTAATTAACATACATTGTTATAATTTTTCAGAAACACTTACTGTTGCCATTTTCTTCAAATTGTTTAAAGACAATACACGAGTGCTTTAGTCCCAAAAATATTTATACAAAAACAAATACATATACAGTTAACGTCAACAACCAAAACATGGTGTAACTAAAATTATTGACGTGTGATCTCAATGGAGTGAACACGAGAAGTTGTTTATGATAAAATAGATTTAAAAAATAGGGATAGAGAGGGAGGAAGCGTGTATTTAAGGGGTTAAGGGAGAGGTTCCATTCCACAAAGCAAGCAAGCTAGGGCTTGAGCTAGCTTAGTCCCCATCATGGCTTCCAGCATGAAACTTATGCTTTTCTCTGCTCTCATTCTCCTCTCCTTCCAAGCAGTATTCTCCGTAACCCCGCTGCAATTTCAACATCCACTAGACCCTTTAACCAAAGAAGAGATAAGTCTTGTCCAAACCATAGTCCAAAAGAAGTACCCCACCTCAAGCAACAGGTTGAGTTTCCACTATATTGGCCTTGATGAACCCGAAAAGAATGCCATCCTCCAATGGGAATCCATCAAACCACGCATCATAACAGTCCCTCGCAAGGCCTTGGCCATTACTATCATCAATAGCATAACCCACGAGATCGTAATTGATCTTAAAGCAAGGCGCATTGTCTCTGACAATATTCACAACGGGAATGGGTTTCCTACCCTATCCGTTGATGAACAAGCCGTTGCCATAGAGCTGCCACTGAAATACGGTCCATTCCTTGAGTCGGTGAAGAAGAGAGGCTTGAACCTCTCAGAGGTGGTGTGCTCCACTTTCACCATGGGGTGGTTTGGAGAAACCACAAACAGAAGGACCGTGAGGGTGGAATGCTTCATGAAGGAAAGCAGTCCCAATATCTGGGTGAGACCTATCAGTGGACTTACAATAGTGGTTGATCTTGAGCTCATGAAGATCATTGAGTATCACGACAGTGGCATCATACCAGTACCAACAGCCGATAATACTGAATACCGCCTTTCACATCAGAAGCCACCATTCGGCCCAAAACAACACAGCCTAGCTACCCATCAGCCACAGGGTCCTGGCTTCACAATCAGCGGCCACAGTGTTAGGTAATCCTATTTCTTTTTTATTTGTTATTGCATGATATGATATGATATGATATATATTGGTGGCCATGCATGGTTTAAAATTTTATATCTATATCTATATATATATAGCTGGGCCAACTGGAAGTTCCACATCGGATTTGATGCACGTGCCGGAATCGTAATATCACTGGCATCCATCTATGATTTGGAGAAGCACAAGTCTCGTCGTGTGTTGTACAAAGGGTACATTTCAGAGCTGTTTGTGCCGTACCAAGACCCAACTGATGATTTCTACTATAAGACTTTCTTTGATGCTGGAGAGTTTGGCTTTGGTCTCTCCACCGTCTCATTGGTGCCCAACCGCGATTGCCCATCCAATGCTCAATTCCTTGACACATACGTTCACAACGCTGATGGTTCTCCATTACTCATTAAGAACGCCATCTGTGTCTTTGAACAATATGGCAATATCATGTGGCGTCACACCGAAACTGGCATTCCAAACGAATCGGTAAATCTATATATACAAATTAATCCTTACTACACATATATACTCAAGTAATCTAGCATCCTTATTCCATGTGTTGCTTTTAATTTTTCCAGTTCGCCGAAACTAGAACGGAAGTCAACTTAGTCGTAAGAACCGTTGTTACCGTCGGCAACTACGATAACATCATAGATTGGGAGTTTAAAGCAAGTGGTTCAATCAAACCCGCGGTAAGTAAATAGTTTAATATGTTGTTTGGATAACAATTTTAATCTATTTAATTAAACCCATAGTATTAGTATAGTACAAATTATCAATTTTATTATAACATAAAACCTTATCGAGATGTAATTATCTTTTTTTTTATTTTTATTGTTTTGATTCCTTACGTAATCTTATTTTATTCAAAAATGGTCCACCAAGAAATCCATTAATTGTTATTTAGGTAGTTGTGTACAAAATAATTATGCATAATTAAGGAGTATAATATTTTATTTTTTTGACCGTCAGAAAGTATGGACACCACGTGGTTCAGTTCGAAACCAGATGCATGCTGTTTGAGTTTGAACCGCGCGAGCATGCGTGAATGTTTACCGAAGTCGATGTACCAAAACTAAAATATTTGTTTATTTATTATTGTTTTAAAAATTATATAAGAAATAGTTAATTAATTTATTTATTTAAGTCATAGAAATTTTATAACTCCAAGTGCTAATGTTTGAACCTGTACGTATAACGTATACATACAGATTGCACTCTCGGGTATATTGGAAATCAAGGGAGTGGATATTAAGCACAAGAATGAGATAAAGAGCGATCAACATGGTACCTTGGTGTCCGCAAACAGCATTGGTGTTTACCACGACCACTTCTACATATACCATCTTGACCTTGACATTGACGGCGTATCCAACTCTTTTGAGAAGACAAGTTTGAAGACAGTAAGAGTGACAGATGGAAGTTCAAAGAGAAAGAGTTATTGGACAACCGAGACTGCAACTGCTAAGACTGAAAACGATGCAAAGATAATAATTGGGACCAGCCCGGGAGAGCTTTCAGTGGTGAATCCAAACAAGAAAACCGCAGTTGGAAATGATGTGGGATACCGTTTGATTCCAGCAATCCCAGCTCATCCTCTTCTAACGGACGATGATTGGCCACAAATACGTGGCGCTTTTACCGACTTTAATGTGTGGGTCACTCCATACAATAGGACCGAGAAGTGGGCTGGTGGACTCTACGTTGACCACAGCCATGGAGATGATACTTTAGCTGTTTGGACAAAAAAGTATGCATCACACGTTTCTCTCTCTCTCTCTGGATTTCTAGTTCATTTTTTTAACTTCTAAATTGACTCTTCATACGATATGGTTGATCTCAACAACTTGCACTATTTTTATATTTGCAGGAATAGAGACATTGAGAACAAGGACATTGTGCTGTGGCACGTTGTGGGAATTCATCATGTTCCAGCCCAAGAAGACTTCCCCATAATGCCATTGTTGAGCACTGCATTCGAGCTCAGACCAACCAATTTCTTCGAGAGGAATCCAGTTCTTAAGACCCTTTCCCCCAAGGATGTTCAATGGCCTGGTTGCCCTAAGTAAAACTATCCATTTGCACCACCGTCAAACCAGCAGTGTTACATTTCATCATTGAACAATGTGATATGTTGTCTGTTTGTTGCATTTCCGAGAATAATTAAAGATTTGATATGTATTATTGCCAGCAATAATTTATTATCAGTTTGAATGAAAAATTTACTTACAGCTGCTTATTTCTCAACCTTGTCCTCACCCTTGTTCCTTAAATTCATACACTTAAATTCTCATACTTATTGATAGAGTGACATTTTTATTTTTATTGTATTCTTAAGAGATATGTTAATGAGAAAATGTTGAAATATAATAGAATATTATAAAGACCTTAATATATAAAAGTAGACACAAAAAGATATATATATATATATATATATATATATATATATATATATATGGAACCATTTATATTTATTTTTCATTTTTTATAAAATATTTTATATTTAAATTTATATGCCATAAAAATTACTACAAATAAACGTCTTCATCTTTGTAATATATTTGTTGTCTTCCTACATATAATCTTTTTACTTGATAAAAATAATTCTTACTCAGATTTTATTTATTTATTTCTTATTCAAATTATTAGTTTAAGACGAAGTCATAAAAGACCCGTGCAAAATGAAAAAAAAAAAAAATAATATACATATCATTATTGCTTTGGAATTTGGATTGATAAGCTGTTAGAGAAGTATGAGGATTATGACCGGAGGATAATACGAACTTAAATAATTTAGGAGCATTTGGAAGAAAAAGAAATTATGAGGTCATAATAAATATGATCTTATTTCAAGAGAGCTTATTATTTTATCCTTCGAAAGACATAAAAACAAAGCAAACAAGATACATACAAAAAGAAACTATACATCCCGCACAAAAGTTGTGCCTGCCGCATCAGCCAACAGATCTATCTTTGGTCATGAACTGCTCCCCGTTTGGGTAAGATTCTGATCTTAATAATAATGTGTTTAAATGGAATAATTTATTTATTTTAAAAATTTTAAATTTTTTAAAAGTAAAATATCTTGTTTAAATAAAAAATTTAATATAATATTTGTAAATTTTTTTGAAATAAAAGAATTTCAAATTTTTTCAAAAATATAAGAATTTCAAATTTTTCAAATTTTTTTTCTTATTTCACTTATATATTTTATCTTATCTTCTATTTTTTTATGTTTTTAATTATTAAATATTTAAAAATATTTTTAAAAATTAACTAATAATAATTAAGACGATAATCATGACTAACAAGGACAAACACGTGATTAAGGCGTAACAAGCCGATTAACACCATATTACCTAATTTGGTAAGTGTCAGAAGAGGCCCACAACGCTTAGGGTCCATCACAAGCAGTATATATAGGTCAGGTAAAATGAGGTATGTTACTGTTCATTTATTACCATCGAGAATCGTGTTTGTCCTGATTTGAACGTCGAAGTGCCTTTTACAGGTACCTCTCCCCTCTGAAGTATCTGCTTGAAGCTTTCATTCGACCCTCCAGTTACTAGAAGATTACGAGTGTGCCGGTACAGAACTATTTAAAATCTAAATTTTTTAGATAATTTAATAAATTAAAAAAGGTTTTAAATTTAGGATTTAGAGTTTTAAGGTTTAGGGTTTAATAAATTTTTTTTATATTACAATCATCTTCCGGTAAAAAGATTTAAATTTTTTTTAATTATTCTAGTAATTTAAATTTTTTTTAGTTATCTATAAAATTTTGTAGTGACAATAAAATACAACTATGAACTCATTTAATTTGATAGGTTGACTAACAAAAATCAGTGGCACAAAAGCTGAGTTGTTTTTTGTGGGTGTAAATATGTAGCACAACCATTTTTTGAAATTTAAGAGTGCATTACCAAACTAAACAAAATAAAAGACTGCTATCATTAAACAAATAAACAAGGAAAAAATAAAATTATTTAATCTAAACACAAGCCATAAGAATCAATTTCCGATTTAACTGATTAGCACTATGCAAAATTCCCAATGAAGGCAATATGCTAGCCATTCTAAACCTCAGCAGGAATTAGT